TGGATTAGACTTAGGTGGTTTTGGGGTTGAAGGAGTTCTTTTGGGTGGCATAGGGGGATTTGGTTCCTTTGGTGCTGGTCCTTCTTTGTTAGCTCTACATTTATCTTTACTGCAATCCACAGGTTTGCTCAAAACAGATTGACAATCTCTCTCTTTTCTCTGGTCTGGTCTTCCTCCTAAACAATTTTCCTTATCTTCTACCACAAGATTTTTCTTAAGTGGTGGTGCACAAGCTTTGTCCAAGGCATCAAAATAATTGTAAGAGAATGTGAAATTGGCCAAATTTGGTAAGGTGCAAATAGCCTCTGGAACTTCTCCTATAAACATGTTTGATGCAATATCAAGTACTTGCACTTTCTGCATGAATTTCAAACCCTGAGGCAAGGATCCAACAAACTTATTTCTGCTAATGTCAAAAACCGTTAAGCTCTTGAGCTTAGTGATTTCGTCTGTAACACAACCAGAGAGATTGTTGTTGGTGAAAACAAGCTCATCTAATGTGTTTTCCATTTTGCCAATACTATGAGGGATGCAACCATGGAATTTATTGTTAGCCAAAACCACCACTGAGGCATTGGAATTGCCAATATTTGGAGGAATGGTGGAATGGAAACGATTATTGTTTAGGAAAATAGCATCAAGACTCTTATCAAATAGTTCAGAAGGCACTGATCCTTCAAAATCATTGTACCTAAGATCAAGGTATTTAAGGTTTGGCAACTCCAGCACAACCTTAGGGAATGGCCCCACGAAACGGTTGTTGCTGAAATCAATCTCATCTAAAAGTTTAAGATTTGAAACACTCTTAGGGACGATTCCACAGAATCGATTAGAATTAATATGAATAAGACTAACATCGGATAGGAACCCGAGCTCTACAGGGAGGTGCCCCGCGATGTCTGCATGATTAAGATCAATACCAGCAACAACAGAGATGTTGGGATCATCTAATGCATTATCACAAAAAACACCATTATATGCACAAACATCAGGACCTTCCCAATTACTAGTGAAATTTGATGGATCAGAGTAAATAGCTTTTTTCCAAGCTTGAAGAGCAATGTAAGCTTTCTTTAACCTAGCATTTGCAAATGTCAACTTAATGTTCTTTTCATATTCAACTGGATTTGGAAGATCACCAGTACCAGCGGTAAGCTGGCGACGAGCGATGAGAGCGGCTTCATTATCAGTTAATGCAAAAGAAAAGGATGAAAAAGAAACAAGATTGAGGAGAAGAAAGCAACCTAAGGCCTTTATGTTTGGAGGATTAGCCATTTTTTGTTAAGATCCCCTAAGTCAGACCCAAGGCTGCTTATAGGAATCATGTTGGGAAGGAAAATGGATGGTGTTATATGGAGGTAGAAGGAGGATGGTTCAAGGTCGAGAGTTAGTTGATGTTTTTTCAATTAGCCCCACAGAATTTGGAGGGTTGTAAAGAATTTGATAGACAATTTTTTAGGAGAAAGAATTGTTGAACCTATTGACACGGAAAATCACCAATTATGCTTTTACTAGCTATTTACCGTCTAAAACTAGTGGACATTAATATTTGATTTAATTTTTGTGTATCGTAATATTTTCACACTCTTATCAGAACTTAGAAATATTGATAGCATAATAAATCATGGAGAAATACATAAACGTTTGACAATGCAGTACCTTTTTTTCCCCTACATTTCGTTCTCTTTTTTTCCCCCTCGCATTGACTAGCTAGTTGGACTTAAAACTATAATCATCATTATGTACTATTTACTAAAATAAAAAATTGAATTTCATTCAATACTCTTACATAATTTATAAGTAACAAAAGGGATGAAGTCGATCACTTTATAGCAAAGTGTCACACCCCTCTTGTGCCCCAAAACGATAATGTGTTTGGGTTGTAGGTTAAATAGTTTTTCCAATTAAAGTGTTAATTTTTGAAATAGAGATTATTTTATTTACAGAGTCGCCACTTGGAATTGATTTTTTGCCGGTGTTCCAAGTCACCTTTTATTTGAATCCCTAGTCAAAGGAAGGTTTGACTCCTTTATTATTGGTCTGCGAAAACAAAGTCCGGATAAGGAATTCTGTTGACCGGGGAGAAGGTGTAAGGCATTCCCCGAGTCTCGTGGTTTTAGCACGGTCGCTTTATTGACTAGAATTTGGCTTGAATAAATTTTGGATAAACTGTGTTTTATTGATTTTCATGTTTTACCTATGTCCGATTTTATTTATTAAAATATAAAATTATTTTGGATAAACTGTATTTTTTTTTAATTATTATTTGAAGTTATGGTCAAGTCGCATGAAACGCGCAATCGAATTGAGGATTATGTATCATGACTATGCCACGGAAATTGTATCCATAGTCACGATATTTTATTATTAACGTGTCTAGAAGCAAACTACGAGTGTTTATAAGAATTATTTTCTAAACTAGCGATTATTACAAGGACAATAGTTTATGGATGTGGAGTTATCGAAATAATTTTTTACAGCTATTACTAAGTCGTTTGATCTAACAAAATTGGCATTCTCTTCATTTTATTTTCACATGACCCAAGTCTTATACCATACAGTTCTTACATATATCTATGCCCCATTTAAACTCTAAATAACCAAGTTCTTACCACCCCATGGCCCAAATATCTTAGCTAATAGTCCATTTTGTAATCCATCCCATTAGACCCAGGTCCAAACTACTGATAAAGCTCTTAAGCAAAAAAGGAAACAACTGAAGCAAGTTCAATGCTAACACAGTAGGCAATGAAATGAAGAATAACAATGTATCCAACAGTCAATGCACTCAAGAAAAATCAAGATGCATTCATAGTTTGTCTAAAAAAAATGAAAGAAACATAAATTTTTATATCTCCAACACAAAACAAAAATAAAAAGTAGACCTCTAATATTTATTCGCTAAATGAGATCTACAGCAGTTGAAAATGAGCACAACAACAATGCTTTCATTGTACCTTAAAAGCAAATCACGAGCGACGGAAGCCGAAGGAACCTCAGTTGCGACATGTACGTCTTTGTGTCGGGTTTTAGGAACCTGTGGTGTCGTTTTGGAAACAGTAATGAGGGTCGTTTTTGACTGGGTTTGGGACTGGTTTCAAGACAGTTTTGCAGCTGTTTGTTAGAGGAAAAGGAGCTGGTTGGAGATGGTATAATTACGACGGAGACAAGGCTATTTCTAGGGTGTTTCGAGACTGTTTTCGGAGCTGTTTGGTGGAGGTTTTCAGCTCGTTTTGGGGGGCTGTTTTTGATGCTTTTTGAGCAGATTTTGTGGCTTTTTAACTTCTGTTTTGAACTGATTTTTGCTGAGGGTTTTGATGTGGAAACAGATCTGGTTTATGGACTGTTTTTGGATTGGATTTTGAGTGAGAAAGTAGTGCGTTTCAGCTGCGTTTTTTGGGTGGATTTGGACTGATTTTAAGAGCTGGTTAGGAGGTGTTTTTGTTGGTTCAATTGGNAGATTTATGAACGAGTATCCGTGAGAGTGGGGTCAAAAGAGTGTATATGAATGAGAGAAAAAAGAAGAAGAGGGGTCTCCCCCTTTTTTCTTTTTTTTTGTGTGTGTGTTTTATAGCTAAAAATGGGGTATGAGGTTTGTGATAGGATACAAGCATGGTGGACAAGGAGTGAGGAATAATGGAGAGTGGAGCAGGGAGCAAAGTGGGGGAGGGAGGGGGACAAGCATAGGGGACAAATAAAAGTGGAGTGGGGACACGCCTGGGAAGATGGGAGCGGGAAATATTCAAGCACAATAAAAAATTAGGTGTTCACACAAAGTTTCTTGCAGTAAGCGATTTCAAAACTGACATTTGCCTGTTTTTAAGCATCCAACAATTTTGCGAAGTCATCAAACGCAGAGAAGGTTTATATCAAGAAAATATAACTTTGAAACATGTTAATCATAAAATTTTGACGAACTAATTTTAAATTTAATAATAAATGTTACATAGACATAAGAGAATTAGTTAGGTGTATTAAGTTTACGCCTTATGTATCAGAATTCACATAAAGCATCTTGTATTTGTTTTGCACATTATATTGTACATGGCTGAGGAACATAGGGTAGACATTTATTACTCATTCACCGCTGCAATAAATGGAGACGAGACGAGTAGAGTTAAGAAGCAAACATTGCAAGATTGGAGTTAGCCATGAACACGACACAATATATGAGTATGAGTGTATGACCCCCATACCATATTGTCGAATAAAGGGCTGAAAGAGCTATGGAACTTATGAATTAATTAGCATATCATAAACTGTAAGATGTACGTTATGTTCTCTTTTCTTTCAATGATTTGGCCAAACCAGTCTTCAATCATATGCCTCTTCTTCATTGATGGTGGCCATCACTTTAGGAAGTAGGCGCTTCACCACATTTATAAATTAATTACTTTTGTTGCAATTCGATCTTCTTTGGTGGTGGCCAAACATATGGATAACATAAATATTCATATTATCTGTCGGTTAATTTATTTTTTATCCGTATTAAATATGAATCGAGTCTAATATTTTATCCATGTTTTGTATTATCTGCTTTTCACCCGCCCATATCTAATCCGACTCAACCCGCCCGTTGTCACCCCTATTGGCACGTGAGGAGGTGCAAAAGACAAAATTAAAGAAATAACTTTAAGTGTACTTTCTCTAATTAACAATTTAAACTTTTAGATATATAATCACACAATTTAACATTCTTTAAAGTACCAAAGGGGAAAATAAATCGGAAGAAGCTTAGCAGTGTTCTTTCAGTTTAAACGGAGCACGTGATTTTCACGAACCAATTTCAACTACCGTTTGTGTTATAAATATACCAGAGACCAAAAGTGCTCAGTTTTGATAAGAATATAAAGGAGTAAAACTGTTCAAATGCATATCTCATGGACTATTTTAGACCCCTGGTATATATCAAAAATTAGTCCTTGAAACAGATACTTCAATAACTATGAAAATGGGAAGAGTATCTGATATCGTATCAAAGAAACCCCAATAAAAGGGGGGAAAAAAGGAGAAAAGAAACAGAAAAATAAAGAAGAGACAGTACATTATAACACCACATTCAAAAGAAGGTGAACTTTTGATAGACTACATGCATTTTTTCGATCGAAAGTGTTTACAGACTGCATAACAATTACTCGTAATTAATTCTTGTGTATAACACATGATCAGTTCATATTATAGTACTGGTAAATCATTCATCTATCATAAAATTAACAAGTAGATGTCACCTCTACCATCCCATACAAAATATATACATGCATATATATAGTCGGAAGGTGTTTGATATAAAACTCGATTAACATATCAAAAGGTGTAAGATGTTATATTCTTTTCTCTTTCGATGATTAATGGCAAAAACTAGGCCTCAAGCATAAGCCTCTTCTTCATTAATGGTAGCCAACACCTTAGGAATTGGGCGCTTTACCACTTTTACAAATTTTGGTGGAGCAACTTCTTTTGCAAGTAATCTTAAGACTGTTGCAAACTTGGCCATTGTATTAGTAGTAATATCTTAAGTAAGGAGGAAGGAGAAAGTGAAGAAGTAATTGAGGAAACAGAAATATGAGGAGCTGTTGCAGAGAAGTAAACATAAAGTGCGATGAATTTATAGGGTAAGACTAGTGTAACCTGTTCAATACGTAGTTCACTTAACATTAAAGGTCCGCTTTGTACTTATATGCCTCCTCCTTTTTGTATTATTAATTGCATCAAGTTGTCTTCTCTATGGAGAAAAAGACATGGCAACTATAACCGTCAGTAGCTTGAATTTTTATTAAGGGGTATCAAAATTTTAAAAAATAAATACACGAATAAGTTAAGAGGATTCAATACATAATATATTTATATAAAAAATTAGAACCACGACACCCGTAGCTCAAGCATCACCATATTTGGTAGGAAGTTTAATGACCTTATCCAGAAAGTATTTAAATTACATTCACAGATAGTATAAAAGTTCATACACTAATTTTAATCTGTAATAACAAGTTAGTTATCGTATGTACCGAATTATAGATTAATATTTATCAAGAGATTTACTAATAATTATTTAATAAATGACTTGATTAGATAAATATTTTTTTCATTACGTGCGCGTAGAACTTAAATTCGTCTTAAAACAAGCCATGGTCATTCTTTCCAAGCAAAAATTCCAAAGTTTCGCACATCATTCTTGATTCTTGGGAATTTTCCTGTATATTTATACCAGTGAAGTCACTTCTTTAGTAAAAAGTGCATATTCTGGTTAACTTCGCATTCCCATGTTATTGAGTCCAAAGTTCTATCATAAGTATTCAGTAAGTAAATCTCTCTTAATATTGTTCTCAATAGTTAGAAAATTATAGCCATCAATTAACGTCACTTACGGGGGCGGAACCACAATGTTAGGTGCGGGTTCGGCCGAATCCAGTACCTTTTGTTCAAACCTTCATATTTGTATTAAGAAATCTAATAAATATGTACAAATTATTAATTTAGAACTCAGTAACTTAAACCAATTATAATCCCGAACCCATAAGGTTCAAATACCAGCTCTGCCCTCTGATACTTATAGTAGGAAAGGTCGTGCAATTTATAATATGAAAAGACTGATAAAATAACTCCAACAACAGAGGTTGCTGCGCATATAGTGCGGGACCATGAAGATGTGGTTGAAATCTTAGTGTTATCTTGAACCTCCAAACTTATCCAAATTAAGCCAGGGGACTAGAATAGATCCCATGTCCTGTCCTTATTTGTAACTTTCATATCATAAAGTCTTAATTTGTCTACCAATATATACACTCCAGGCAAACATGGTTTTGGTTAGCAAGAGAAGTTATTGCAAATAATTTCTGGTTTACTCTAAAGTCTATTTGAAGCAGTCTTGAAATCCATTTTTTAACATTGTATATGGTCAAAACCGGTTAGTTCTTCGTACGAACTGGTCGAAATAGTAATGCATTGGATCGGAGAAGTGTCTTCATAATATCAGGTTGAGGTCCGAAGTCAGGTCACCAAGCTTCGAGTTCTAGGGACCAATCAATGTCGAGCTCGATATCATTATCGAGCTCGAATCCAAATCGAACTATAATGTAAAGTGAAGTTATCGAGCTTATGAGATAGAGACCGATCAACACTGATCCCGAATCAATACAAGGATCCGAGTCAGAATCGAGCTCGAGTCAAGATCGAGAGCTCGAGTCAATATCGAGCTCATAGACAAGAGTCGTTGCAATCCCACTAGAGAAAAGAATCCTGGCAGGAATTATGAAAAAACTTTATTTATCATGGGTCTCCCACTATGTATTTTTAATTATATCTAAAGAAGGATCCCTCCACTATAAAGAGGATGATTATTATTTCTGTAAGGACCAAGTTTTGGCATACATTATAACTGAAATATCATACACTCATATATAGAAGAGTTATCCTTTTTTTAGTTTCATAGATTGATTCATCTTGCTTAATCCATAAGTTATTTTCTTCTCAACTTTGCTTATTTTTCATTCTCTACAGTCAAACACTCGATATTTCTATTCATCCTTACGATTTGTGTCAAGTAAGGGTGAGCATAAAATTCGAAAAATAGAATTCCGGACCGGACCGAATTAATTTGGTATTTCGGTTTCGGTTTTTTCGGTATTTTGGTATAATTCGGTATTACATTTTCGGTATTTCGGTATAACGGTTCGGTCCTCGGTATTAGGATCTTGAAATTTCGGTATACCGAAATACCGAATTTTATGTTGGACCTATACTGCCCAGCCCAACCTAATATGTTGTATCTCTAATTCTCTACACTGCCCTAGTGCCCAGCCCAACCCAATAAGGCCCAACTCTTACCCTCTTTAGTCTTTCTCTAGTTTCACTTCACTACAGAAAATTAGAAAGGGAGAAACAGAAACCTAACCAAAGAGCTGTGACTGTGAGAGAGAACTCAGAAAAGTGATAACCTCGGCACGATAGAGACGAGTCAGACGACGTCACGGCGACTTCACGACCTCGGTGCCGACGACTCTCAAGTGTGACTGCCGGTTTCCTTATATTTTACCTTCATTCTTCAATCTTCAACTCTTCAAAATATTCATAACTTTTCATTCTTCAATCTTTAGTTTTTTATAATAATTTATGGTAGATTAATTGGTAGTTCTTGGAATAAGGACAACTCTTTATTTTGCCACTTGTTTTTTTAATGGCTAATCTTTTCATAAACAAGTTCTAAAAAATTCCACTTTGAACCTAAAGATTCCAGTGACATGTAAAGAGTGGGATTAGTTTTTTAGTAGAGTTATTAAACTACAAGATTTAAATGAGTGGTAACTAGGGGTGGGCAAGCAAAAAGAATTTATATGATTATCTTTCACTAGGTGGCGTGTAAAGAGGCATTTTCTTGTTAGGTGGTGTACTTTATTTTGATTATCTTCATTTGATGTAATAATAAAATCAGTAAAAAAATTCTATATTTGTAAAAGAAAAAAGGAAACTGAACGTCTACATTAATTGTCTTATAGAAGGTTACTAACTTTGACATGAAGTCTCACTTCCAGATTTCACTCTTTGCATATTATTCTTTTTTTTTGCTCTCAATTTCTAGTATTTCTAGTGAAAGATAATCACATAAATATATCTCTAGTGAGATTACAAAATTATGTTAGGGAAACAGTAGCCCAGAAACTCGTAGACATCTTTATCAAATACTTGTCAACCTCCATTTTAGACTTTGATTATCTAAACTCAACTCTAGTCTCAATTTGTGTTTATATTTGTTTTAATTTTATATAGATGGCAGATGAAAGTAGAGTAAGTGATGCCGGTTCAACTGAAAGTTTACCTATTACTGAAGATAGTAACACCAACACAATTGATACTCAAGATTCTAAGAAAAGAAAAGCCATGCAACCTCGATCCGTAGTTTGGCAACATTTTGATAAATTTGAGGTAAATGGGGTCGGTAAAGCAAGGTGTAGATATTATAAGCAAACTTATGCTGCTAATACGTCTAGGAATGGAACAACATGATTGAAAAATTATTTGGCTAGATGCAAAGAATACCCACCTAACATTGATAAAGATAATAGTCAAACAAAGATAAATTTTTAATCTTGCCAAAATGATGGAGGATCGCTTTGGAAATTTGATCAAGAAGTAGTTAGGAGGGCCTTAATTGAGATGATAGTTATTGATGAACTACCATTTAGCTTTGTAGAAAAGGAAGGTTTTATGAAATTTATGAGAATAACTCAACCATTATTTCGTCTTCCTTCTCGTAGAACAATAATAAGGGATTGTTATGAAGTTTACGGTGAATTGAAGCAAAATCTAAGAAGATCTTTTAAAGAAGCACAACCAAAAATTTGCCTCACAACAGACGCATGGACTTCATTGCAAAGAATAAATTATATGTATTTGACAGCCCACTTCATTGATAGGGATTGGAAGTTGCATAAAAGAATACTAAATTTTTGCCCTATCACTAGTCATAAGGGTGAAGAGATGGCTAAAGCTATTTCTAATTGTTTGCTTGAATGGAAATTAGACAAGGTGTTCACTATTACCGTGGACAATGCTTCTTCAAATGATGTCACAGTCAAAGAATTGTCTAAAAAATTAGATATGTGAAAAACTAATATGATGAGTGGTAAACATCTTCATGTGAGATGCATGGCTCATATACTAAATCTAATTGTGCAAGATGGTTTGAAAGAAATTGATGCTTCTGTCACACGTCTTAGAAATATTGTGAGGTATGTGAGATCTTCGTCTGCAAGGACCTTAAAGTTTAAACAGTGTTGTGCATATGTAAAGGTAGCATGTACCAAAATATTATGTTTGGATGTTCCTACTAGGTGGAATTCCACCTGTTTTATGTTGGATACGGCACAAAACTTTGAAAAGGCCTTTGACAAGTTTCATCCTTTTGATGATGGATTTTCTGCTTATCTATGTTCTCATCTTTGTAAAGATAGTAGTAGTGCAGATCCTCTTGAATTTGATGATTGGGTGAATGTGAGGAATGTGATAGCGTTTCTTGCAAGATTTCACGAGCTCACCAAAAAAGTTTCAGGTTCACGTTATGTCACTTATAATTCTCATTTTGAGGATGTATCTGAACTTTATTATCATTTGAAAATGTGTTTAATTAGTGAGGATGAGCATTTGAGAAAAATGGCTGAGCAGATGCAAGAAAAGTTCAAGAAGTATTGGGGTGAGCCTGGAAAGATGAATAAAATGATTTTTATTGCTTCCATCTTGGATCCACATAACAAATTTGAATATGTTAGCCTTGCACTTGAAGAACTTTTTGGGGAGAAAAAAGGGAAGAAAATAAATGATAAGGTGTATGCTTATATAAATCTTTGTTTGAAGAGTATCTGAAAAGGTATTCAACTGGATCTTGTCCTCAATCTCCATCTAGTTCTACTTCATCTAATAACATATCTAATATATCTAGTGGGAGTGTTTTAACTGCATCATTAATAAGGATGAAGCTTCACTTGAAGAAACGAAAGGAAGACAATGGAAGTGGGGGTGCTAAATCGGAGTTGGATAAATACATTAGTGAAGAACAAGAGCCTTTTAGTGAAGAATTTGATATTTTAAGTTGGTGAAAAATACATGCTCCTAGATTTTCTATTCTTTCGGAGTTGGCTCGTGATGTGTTGGCCATTCCAATTTCTAGTATGGCGTCGGAATGTGCGTTTAGCACCGGTGGCCGTATTCTTGATTCATTTAGGAGTTCATTGATTCCTAAATGTGTGCAAGCTCTTGTTTGTATTCAAGATTAGCTTAGAGAAAAGAAGAATCCTATTAGTGTTGAAGAAGACTGGGAGTATCTTGAGGAACTCGAGTTTGGTAAGCTTTAATATTTTGTGTGTATTTTAGTTCAAAATAATATATCATACTTGTTTATTTGTATGATATATTTGGTCGAATTATCTTTAGATATGGAAAATAATGGAAGCACTACTAGCATTGTTTGATGTATAGTTGCAACTTGCAACTTAAGTGGTAAGTTTAATACTCTATTTGTTTGGTGATATACTTTTGTAGTTTTATTTTATTATCATCAAAAAAATAATATTCTAACTTATGATTTATCTTTTTTTTTAGGTTCAAGTGCAATCATGGCCCGTGCTTCTAATGTTCATCCAAAGAGGGATGGCACATATTGTTTAAGGAAGCATATTAGGCATTGTCTCGAGCGTCTTCCTGAAATCTGTATTTAAGAATTAAGACTAAGTTGATTTGAGACTATTAGTGTAAACTTGAATAGAGGGATGCCCTCTATGTTTTTGTTGCACTGTGTTTAATTCTGCTGGTTGCTGCTACTCGTTAGTAGTTGTTACTATCTTAGCTTGTTGTGATATTTATTTACTTTTTTTCCCTTTCAAGTACTTGTTGGGAATGTGATAATCAGGAGTGTACTTGCTGTGAATGTGATAATCATGTGCTCTTACACGCCTTTTGTTATTTAGTGTTTCGAGCTTGCTTATTTTATTATTTAGTGTTGCTGCCTTGCTGCCTTTTATTAGGCAGAATGGCAGTTGGCAGATTATTTAGTGTTGTGGTGCTGCCTTACTTACACACTTTGTGTTAGGCAGAATGGCGGATTTGATTATTTAGTGTTGCTGCCTTTTGCTTAATGTTTAGCCTCTTAGCACTTGGCAGTACGGCACATGAATATGTATTAAATCGAAACCGTACCGAACCAAAATAAAAAATACCGAACTATACCGAAATACTTTGGTATGGTATTTGGTATACACAATTGATAAACCGAATACCAAACCAAAATTTTTAAATACCGAACCGAAATACCGAATGCCCACCCCTAGTGTCAAGTTACATCACATACCCTTAGAACCACGTACAAATTTAATTCTATCTATTTTGCAGGTAAATAGTTTGGCGCCCACTGTGGGGCTAAGGATAACAGTGGCTATTTGACACGAATCTCTGAAAAACTGGCCGTTTCACGCTTATTTTGAAGCATCTCTGATTTCATATTAGCAACAGCGAACTCTCGATCAATGGCCTTGCCTATCGACAACGAAGCTGGCCTTCAAGATGAGAACAATAACTTCGGGCCCGATGGCGAAAGGTCACTCGTCAACACCGTTAGAGCTCGAGTCAAAGTACCATTGGACGTTAACTCATATGTGTCCATCGAGGCGGACCAATGTTCTGAACCTGAAAATAACATTCATGGTGGTACTCGATTTGCAGGTAGAGATACCCATAACGTTGAAGAAAATGGAGTCAGCTTGCGTATGATTTTCGAAATATTGCAATCAGGTAGCAATAGCTCAGTTGCAGAGTCAAACCCAGATACCGAGCAGGCCGGAGCCCAATCCGCCCCGGGAAGTCACTCACATAACGAAACCAGCTGTAGTGAGGTCAAATGAGTAAGAATCGGGGACTAATCCCAAAATTGTTAAGATATTCGAAGAACTGACAAAACGAATAGAATCAGGAGAAAAGAGGATCGAAGAAAACAACAAAAATGTGGAAACGTACAACTCCAGGGTTGATCATATCCCGGGGGCACCCCCGATATTGAAAGGCTTAGATTCCAAAAAATTCATACATAAGCCTTTCCCCCCGAGCGCGGCCCCTAAACCAATCCCAAAGAAGTTTCGCATGCCCAAAAATCATAAGTATAATGGGACGATCGACCCCAACAAACATGTCACCTCTTACACATGTGCTATTAAAGAAAACGATCTAGAAGATGATGAGATTGAATCTGTATTATTGAAAAAATTCGGTGAAACCCTATCGAAGGGGGCAATGATATGGTATCATAATTTACCATCTAACTCTATTGATTCTTTTGCTATGCTTGCAGATTTTTTCGTAAAAGTACATGTCGGGGCCATAAAAGTTGAGACCCGAAAGTCGGACCTACTCAAGGTAAGACAAAAGGATAACGAGATGCTATGAGAATTTGTATCTCATTTCCAAATGGAATGAATGGATCTACCACCAGTCACAGACGATTGGGCTGTTCAAGCTTTCACTCAAGGTCTGAACGAACGAAGCTCGATGGCTTCACGGCGGCTGAAGCATAACCTAATCGAATACCCAGCTATTACTTGGGCCGATGTGCACAATTGGTATCAATCTAAAATAAGGGTCGAAGATAACCAGTTGGGTTCCGGGTCCGGTTTTAAAAGGGATACCGATCGAGAACCAAGGTCAAGCAATGATCAATATCGGCCGTACAACGGAGATAGTCGGGTTAGCGAACTTTCATGTAACCCCGTACGAGGAGAAGAGAAAATTGATCAAAGCCAAGGGTCTCGGGGACTGATGAACAGAAATGGGTTCGATAGGCATACCGAACCTAAGGAAGCACCACGGTTATGGGAGTATAACTTCAGCATCGATACATCCGCCATTGTGTCGCCTATCGAATGCATCAAGGACACTAAATGGCCTCGACCCATACAGACCGATCCTGCCCAGAGGAACCCCAATCAAATGTGTGAATAACATGGCACCCATGGACACAGAACGGAAGATTGCAGGCAACTAAGAGAGGAGGTAGCCCGGTTATTCATTAAAGGGTACCTTCGAGAATTTTCAAGCGACAGAGCCAAAAACCATTTCAAAAACAGGGATTTCGGTAAACAAAACGAACAGGAAGAACCACAACATGTCATACACATGATCATCGGTGGCGTCGATACCCTTCAGGGGCCGGTACTTAAACACACTACGATATCGGTTATGAGAGAAAAGCGATCTCGAACTTGGGATTACGCACCCATAGGAACCTTGTCCTTTAATCATGAAGATGCAGAAGGAGTCATGCAACCTCACAACGATGCACTGGTAATATCCGTACTTATGAATAAAACTAAAGTTAAGCGTGTGTTAATTGGTCCAGGTAGCTCGACCAACATTATTAGATCGAAGGTTGTAGAACAGCTCGGTCTACAGGACCAGGTTGTACCCGCAACCCTGGTTCTTAAAAGGATTCAATATGGCATGTGAAACTACCAAAGGCGAGATAATTCTGCCGATAAACATAGCAGGGACTATCCAGGAAACGAAGTTCCACGTAATAGAAGGCGATATATGAAACAACGCCTTTTTGGAAGGCCGTGGATCCATAATATGAGAGATGTACCTTTGACCTTCCATTAGGTTCTTAAATTCTCAACATTGGAGGGAATCAAAACAGTATATGGGGAACAACCGGCCGCAAGGGAAATGTTTGCCATCAAAGAAGCAATTCTGATATCCTCGCCTTCATCGACAAAGGGGTCGGGCTCGAAGGGGGAACATGATGCCAAATAGCAATCACAGACGTCAGCTTCGAACCAACTAGAAGATCAGAAGATTGACGAAGATGATGAGCAAGGGATCCCAAGATCCTTCATGGTCCCCGATGATACCGACGCTACCCAATCAACGGTCGAAGAACTGGAGAAAGTCGTACTAATCTAATATCTGCCCAAACGAAAGGTATACATGGGAACGAGATTAACCCCCGAACTCAGGAAAAAGTTTATTCGATTTCTTATTGATAATATAAATTGTTTTGCTTGGTCCCATTTAGACATAACAGGGATCCCACCGGATATAACGATGCATCGGCTAAGCCTGGACTCTAGGTTCAAACCGGTGAAGCAAAAGAAAAGACCCCAGTCCGAGGTAAAACACGCATTCATAAAGAATGAGGTAACTAAACTTCTCAAAATAGGGTCCATTCGGGATGTAAAATATCCCGAATGGTTAGCCAATGTGGTTGTAGTCCCTAAAAAGAGAACAAACTTAGAATGTGTGTAGATTACAAGAATTTAAACAAGGCATGCCCCAAAGATTCTTTTCTACTGCCTAACATCGATCGCATGATCGATGCCACGACCGACCACAAGATCCTTACTTTTCTCGATGCCTATTCCGGGTACAATCAAATCCAAATGAACACGGAGGACCGAGAAAAGACCTTATTTATCACTAAGTATGGAACTTATTGTTATAATGTAATGCCCTGCTAAAAAATGCAGGAGCTACTTACTAACGCCTAGTAAATAAAATATTTGAGGAACAAATAGGTAAATCAATGAAAGTTTATATTGATGACATGCTAGAGCCATTTGCAGGAAACATTCGAGATTTTAAAGAAATACAACATGAAACTCAACCCCGAGAAATGTGCTTTCGGGGTTAGATCAGGCAAGTTTCTTGGCTTCATGGTATCGAATCGAGGGATCGAGATCAACCCCGATAAAATCAAGGCCATCGAAGACATCACCGTCGTGGATAGTGTAAAAGCCATGTAGAGGCTAACGACACAAATTGATGCCTTAGGCCGGTTCATTTCAAGGTCGTTGGATCGAAGTCACAGATTTTTCTATCTGCTCAGAAAGAAGAACGATTTCACCTGGACCCCGGAATGACAACATGCATTAGAGGAATTGAAAAGATACCTATCGAGCCCACCACTGTTGCACACTCCAAAGGCAGACAAGAAACTTTGCTTGTACTTGGCAGTATCAAAAATCGCGGTAAGCGGCGTCCTAGTTCGAGAAGAGCAAGGTACGCAATTTTCCGTTTATTATGTAAGTCGAACCTTAGGGGAGGCAGAAACTAGATA